CACACACACACACACACACACACACACACACAAATCAGAATTTGAGTTTATTGCCAGGTACGGCTACACAAATGCATTTGCATTGCATTAACACAACAAAAGGAAATAAGTTGTATGAGAACATCAAACATATTATAAAAAGAAAATAGAAAAAGAAAGATATTTAGAAACACATTCAAAACAGATATTTACACCAAATATAAATATAAAACGTTGGTAAAATGAATATATGACTCATCAGAACACACACTGTACATATGCAGTCTAGTATTTGGACTCTAATGGACTCTTTACCCGAGGCCAATGCGTGAGCAGCTGTGCGGGTTGACCAGGTGCGCCTTAGTTTCCATGGTGTCATCACGCCAGCTGAAGACCTGCTGTTTCCCTACATGATGCACGTTGACTCTTCTGACGTTTCACGCTGCCACACCAACCTGAGCAGCACGTCACTGACAGCCTGAAGGCACAGAGCAGCATTCAAGTGTGGAACCCAATGTACACCAAGTCTTTCACTCTGAAAGGAGGGCTTCGGGAATGGTGGAAACCTGCAGCTCTGCATGCTGCTTCCTGTTGGTCCTGCAGGCTTATCTGCTGGTATGATTTAATGGAAGAGCTCAGTCACATAAAGAGTAACAAGTGTAATTCCACCGTGAGGCTTTCCATCCCTGTCCCTCCTAATGGCTTAACTGTGATCCATTAGCAAACCAAAGCTAATTCACACCCAGATTATGGCTCTTGTAGCCCTCGGGTGTCACCAAAGGCCTTGTTAGAGTATAACATTTGACCTTATTGTATCTTTAACAAATCTGACCTATACCTACAGATCTGAGGCTCTACTGCTGGTTTGAGCAGAAGCATTTTTTGGTTTTTGCTATTATTTACTTCAATATATGGGGAGAAAACCCAGGTGAATTGGCTTAAATGTTTAACTTGTATTGTATTGCTATTAAATCTTCCCCGTTTAAAGTTGCTAATACATTTTTGCCATAGTCTCTTGCTTTAAATGCTGGCTTAAGAAAGCCTCTCGCATGAAAAAATCTTCAAATTACTTCCACACACTGAGGTCTACAGATTTTCCCATTTTTGTAAAAATCTGTTCATATTTTTTGGCACACCATGAGTGGAGAAGTCTGCAGCAGAAACCAAAAATGTTGGATTGGTGCATCCCTACAAAACACATTTTCTCAATCCACTTTTCACGATGAGATATTACCAAAAAGGATCTGCCGAATTTGAATAATTTTTGGTTCCTTCACATTAGCTTTTCTATGTTTGTGTTTTAGCTTTCATCACTTGTTTAAAGTAGTCACGGCTCAGTTAGAAAAAGGTGATGCCCCAATCAAAAATTAGAAACATTTGAATCAAAATGTGATAACAGCGGCCAAGACTGTCTGGAAAATCTGATCAAACTACACCCACACAGTGTTAAAGGAGCAGGTTGGCTGTGTTTTTAGTTTTACATATTGGTAGACATTATGTTGCTTATTTACTGAGGAAACACATCCGATTTGAAACCATGTTTTTGGGGGGCATGAAATGAAACTTATCTCCTGCACTGCACATACACTATTCATTGTATTTGTTTGCACATTAAAACGCTACATAAACACACTTACGCCTTCATATACTCAGGTATATGTAAACAAAAGCCTGTGCAGGAGAGAAAGGGGGTGACATAGCTTATGCAAAAACAGCTTTAAAAAAAACTCTAGGCAAGATAAGCGGGATTACAAATGATGAAGAATAAAAAAGGCATTTAGAAAAAAAGAATACAAAATAATATCTTCGTCCAGTTGTTCATCAACACTGTAATTTTGGACGTTAACGTTTGTTTTTTAGTGTTTGTTAAAAGAAGATGATTATTTATCGACAATTTACCTATTTAAATTACAGACAACATCTTTTAACACATCAGCTTGAACATAAATGAAGATTAGGATGTCTAGTCTTAACACCTGGATGTCCCATTTAGCAGCAGCTGCCTCTCAAAAAAGCAATCGGTAACCTCATACCTGCTTGACCAGAAATTAAAAGCATGTTCATGTTATTATTAAGCACAATTGTATCCTGGTATGACACAATGCAGGGCCAAGGATACATGGATTCCTCTCTGGTAATTAATTTCCGAGTTCACAAACTACAGCCTCAGAATTGCTGATATGATTTGAGTCGGCACGCTGTGCTTTCACTCCCCCTTCATTACCGTCAGAAGGAAAGCATCCACTTGCTCTGAATGCAGAGAATACTGAAGCATGAAAACTGCACAGAGGCATTTCTTTACCTGGCCATGCATGGCCTGCTTCTCTCGGATATGGTTTTGTTGGAGGCCAATATTGATGTCAAAGCATAATCGTTCACGGTGCACAATATGTTCTGCTGGATCACCACCAAACACAGCCTCACACATCCTTGCCGTACAGCATGCTGAATGTGTGACAGTAGCCATGAGTTATTATGCATAGATAACCTTCCCTTCCCTTTATAATCAAAGCGGGCACAAAGGAAAACTATTCATGATCTGCAATTATGTTTTCTAGATAAGATAAGCGGTTCACAATTAACTTAAGGCTTGCCCTAGACATAAGGAGCTTTTCATATCTGCTGACCTAGCCAATCAAACTGCTCCAGGAGCTTCAATATCACCATGACTGAGCCTGAGCCTTTGTGTGTTTCTTTTTCTACTGCCTTGTTACTTTTGGAGGTTCAACTCCCGCCCCTCCCAAAATAACTGAGTTGAACACAAGGGGGCGTAGACTGCTAAGTTTGCCTCTCCTTGTTGAGTTCAGCAGCAGAAGCAGAAGCAGAGATAAATTCGATTATGGTATCATGTCCGACCTTGAGAGGGAACTACTCTTAAATTTACATTTCAGGACGGCTGCCTTATTGCATTATTGGCGAAGAAATGTGTGGCGTTCTCCACACACAACTGCATTAGTAAGGGCCATCCTCTGGCAAAGCCACAGAATGACAATGTGGATGGCAACATGCAGGTTGGTCCAGTTGTTGGTTTGAGCATGAAGCAAAGGATTTGTCTGCCCAATTAAATTGTATAAGAATGCTTTGTGTAAAAGATGATAAATTGTGTCGTTATCATCATCATTAGGAGTGCTGGTGTTGGTAGAAGAATTCTCCAATTTTGAAATGCCACCCATACAGGATAATCAAGTCCCCAGAGGTTTGTAACACAACAATCATCAGTAGCACCATGCACACTCGGTGCAGTGATTGCATTAGCAATGGCATTCATAAATAATCCTGCCAATCTCTCGCTCCAGCTCTTATTATTTTCCTTTCTTTGCAATTAATTCTTTCATCTCTGCAATTGCAGGAATATTATAATTAAAACGGTTTACAAAAATGTTTGACTTTGGTGATTTGCTCTGCTGCCTATACAGTATGTTTCCATAATGCACTTGCATTCTTGCAACAGACACAAGTGTAGCACAAGGCACCTGTCTGACATGAAATGGCACTAACCCAGCCCCGTGGGTGGGTCATGTGCTGTTAGGCTAAAATCGCTTTTTTAGGCTCCGTGGTAAAAGCGAGATTTAATTGGTTTGAGTTCCAAGTATATGTAAATGGCAGTGTGTGGCTCCTCCCATGCACCTGATGGGGAGTATTTACAGCTCTTTACAGCTACTCACTGCACTGTTTCCAAGAGCGCAGCGCCGCACCATGACACTCCACTGGACTTAAGCAATAAGGATTTACGTATCTCACAGTAAACTCGCCGCTTTATTCTCCAAGGAAAAAGTTTGTCAAAAACTTTTCCACTTGTTTTCCAAGATGCCACGCTCTTTCCTGGTCAAGAAACACATAAACTCCGCAAAGAAGCCAAATTATAGTGAGCTGGAAAGCACAACAGGTAAAGTTTCAAAGTAAAATAAATGTCTGACTTTAAAAGTGTTTTTATGTTTCTTACATGTTGTCGCTGTTTTGATGTGTTTTTTTTTTACTTTGCAAAAGTTTTAAAACTTATCGGCCAACTTTAAAATCTCTGCTCCTCGCTCTTCAAGCGATGACAGCCCACACATGATAACTGATTTGACTTTCTTTATTTTCAGTGTTCTTCACGCCGCACATCTACCGGGGCCTTCCTCTGCCTGTCATCCCCCATGCGGAGATCCTGAGCCCGGCAGCGTACAGCCCCATCACCGTATGGACTACCAGCAGCTTACCGCTCTCTCCACTCCCCAGTGACCTCTCCCCCATCTCCGGATACCCCTCATCGCTCTCCGACACCTC